ATGTTCGCTAGTGAAGATTTTATCGTTATTCTTTCTTATCTTAATGTTTTATATGGATGGTAAGACGTCTGCCATCACTGTCAGTTTAATTTGGATGAACTACATACAGCTGTGAAAATTTTGTGGCATTAAAGGACTTTTACGATTGAGAGGGCTGGCAGAGAGAAGAGGCGGCTAACAACGAACAAGGCTAGAGAAAGAATTCCTTAGAGCTAGTCTAGTAGAGTGGTCTAGCTAGGCTAGAGCCTTAGCGAGAAAGCTTCGTTTGGCCTACTAGCTAGGCTAGAGGGCCTAGGCTACACCGCTAATATAGACCATAAAATCAGACGAGGTAACCGAAACATCTAGGCCTACGACAACTACTAATTTTTAAAATGACAATTGTTTTTGACTTGAGAGAGATTTCCAGGTAAGTGAATATGATTGCTATTTTTTTTTTCAATGGATATAGCACTGCATGCAGAGGGAGGTATAAACATTTACATAGGAACCAGTCATCTCGCCCCCTATAAATTCCGCACTCTAATAAAATGTATTGCTAGTAGAAAATTATTAGGGCACATAGAAAAAAATTGTTAGATTTATCACTCCTGCCTGAGTAAACAATTTGGGTTGTTTGACTGGAAATACATTTTCTTTTAAAAACAATAAAATTAAACCAGTTTTTATACAATATTCTTCCAAAATAAATCATCAATTAAAAAAAATACAACATTCTGGTTTAATTTATGTGACCGTAAAATATTTACATGTCCGTTAATCATTTTGTAATCGCAATTAGTCAAGTACAGCAAATGTTCGATCGATCTGATTTTTAAAAAGTTTTCTGCATCCTGCTCAGTAAAGATAGTATAATACATACTCCTAATATCGAAATGCACGCCACCGTGTCGGGATTCAATAATTGAACATTAATTATGTCATTAATATATCAAATAAAATATTACTGTAATTAATAACAGTATATTTAAACTTGATTATGATAATAAATATAATATAATTAATATTAAATGCTTATATTAAAGTAACCCCTATTACACTATATTGGTTCAATTTTCAACCAATTTTATAGCTTCTGGCATTGCTACTCAATATAGTAACTAATTAAAGGCACCATTTTTCCTTTAAATGTTGCTTCTATGAATAGAATGACCTGATTGAAACACAATATTCTGTACACAAAACCCATGATCAGCTTTTTTATTATACTGTACAGAAATTTACCCATGATGTGTCTACAGTCTGTCTCTTATACACATCGTGCAGCAAAATGGATTAAAGTCAATTGCAGCAAAACCAGGTTGTGAAATGCAGTGGGCAAAGCTGAACTACTATAAGTTCAGTACCTGTAATAGGTAGGCAATGTTTTACTTTTAGAGGATTTAATTATTATCCAATCTAAATGTAAGGGTGTACAAATATAAATGCACCATCTGGGTAGTTGGCTGAGAGGTATTTGTTCCTGCTTCTTGTGCTGAAGACCCGGCAAGTGTCCAATCGCTTGGCTCCTTGATTAACCCTTATATTGAGAGTTAGACGGGCTAAGGACAATGTCTGTATCCATTATGTTTGTAGTTGTTAGTTAGGCAAGACTTTTTTATACCTTGTTTAGTGAACCCACCTAATGCAAATATTGATGATTTCGAATAAAATTAAAATTATATTTTTTGCCAATTAGTGCACCCACCTCCACGAAAAATGGAAATTTCAGAAAAAAAAATAGAAGTTTTCTTTATTTTTATTATGCCCTCCACTGCCTTGAAATCTCCAAAGATAAGGTATGTGTATTTCTTCCTAATTATATAAATTTGAAGCATTTATCCATCCCATTTTGCATTCAATAACATTTTATTTTTATTTTCTACTCCAGCTAAGTTTTTAGCAAAACTATTTGCTAAATAAGAAAATTTTATTTTTATTCTGCCCTCTCCGATGATCTACTGTACTGTATAAAAAATTCATTGCGCGAAACAAAAAATAAAAAGTCTTGCCTTACCGGAATCTGTATACAGACTTGCCCCATAGGTTTCAGCATTTGTTTTTTAGTGGAATAGATGGAATTAAATTATTAATATTATTGACCACTGATGCTCACTATGGAATCAAAATGTATGACATTTCAGTGAATACATAAAAAGTGCATATGATACAGTATTCTTACAATAACTTTAAATTAATCTCAATGTATTTTTTGAAAAACAGCCAATTCGTAGAGCATTATAGAAGCTTTCAGACCTACTGCAGAATTCAAAACCAACACCTCAGACCCAGGGGCTAGTGACATCCTCTTCCGCCAGCTTCAAGGATTCAACTATATTTAAGTATTCGAAGGAGCTCACTATCGAATAATTATTTGTTTATACCTTGCGATTTCAAAGCGCTGACAACATTTTGCATGGTGTAAAGTAATAATATACATTTTATATATTAGGTAAATCACAAGATTAATTTCTCACATTAAATATATATTGCTCTTTGCTGTGTAAAAGCACATATACAG